CCGTGGTGTGTGATGGCCTCTCACTGGGGTCCAGTGCCGTGGTGTGTGATGGCCTCTCACTGGGGTCCAGTCCCGTGGTGTGTGATGGTATGTCACTGTGGGGTCCAGTCCCGTGGTGTGTGATGGCATCTCACAGGGGTTCAGTCCCGTGGTGCGTGATGACATCTCACGGGGGTCCAGTCCCGTGGTGTGTGATGGCATCTCACGGGGGTCCAGTCCCGTGGTGTGTGATGGCATCTCACTGGGGTCCAGTCCCGTGGTGTGTGATGGCATCTCACGGGGGTCCAGTCCCGTGGTGTGTGATGGTATGGCACTGTGTGGTCCAGTCCTGTGGTGTGTGATGGCATCTCAGTGGGGTCTTAAGCATATGTCTGTTGACTGAGGGGTTGAGCATCTTATGTACTTGCTTGCCATACATGTGTCATCTTTGGTAGTTGTTAAAAATCTCTTGCACATCTTTTTAAATTTGGTTTTTGAGTAATTAAGTAGTTAGGAGCTCTGTACATATTCTGAGTACAGATTCTTTATCAAATACTAATTTATATGATGTGTGAATACTAATTTTCCAAAAATCCTCACTGTGTGTGGTTTGCCTTTTCATTTCATTGACAGTGTCTTTCAAAGAGAAAAAGGTTTTTTAATTTTTTTTTAATTTTAGAATATTGTAAGGGTACAAATATTTTGGTTACATGAATTGCTTTTGTTCAGTCTGAGTTGAGAAACTTATTATTTCAGTGTAGCGCAACTTATTTTTTTCTTTTATAGGTCATGCTTCTTGGTGTTCTTTTAAAGAAATTTTTGCCTAACCAACAAGAAGATTTTGTTATTTCTTGGAAGTTTTATAGCTTTAGCTTTTATGGCTTAGGTCTGTGATCCATTTCGAGCTGATTTTACGGGGGGGGGGGGGGGGTAAGGGTTGATAACGCTTTCTTTGCATCTAGAGGTCCAGTCGTTCCTGCCCTATCTGTTCAGAAGATTGCTCTTTCCCCTATTGAATTACCTTGGCACTTGTTGAAAATAAATTGGTCATATACAAGGTCTGACAAGTTTGCCCACTCATCCTAGAAAAGGTTTGGAAAAGGTGATACATTCTTCACTGCTAAATATCACTACAGTCATCTTCAAACTTCTCCCCTTAGGAAGCTATGCACTGACACCAGTGCCTACTCCATCCTTCAAAGCAATTTTGGAACTTTGGAACTGCCATCAAAGCTGTCATACATTACCCTTAATGCCCAGAATGTCATCAAAATGTCATCCTTTCACTATTTCCGTTATCTTTGGGTAAAGAAAAGAGCCTCGGGGGGGGGCGGGGGGGGCAGATCAGGTGAGTAGAGAGGGTATTCCAGTGCAGTTGTTTACTGGCTAAGAACTCTCATATATAATGCCATGTGAGCTGGGGCGTTGTCATGATGCATGAGCCATGAGTTGTTGGCCAAGATTTTCGATTAAGACTTTCCTGTTTCTCTGTGTTCACTTGGTCTGCTGTGCTTCTCACAGTCAGGAGATTTTGACACACAATTTGACAAGTTTTTGCAATGTTTTCATCAGTTCTTCTTGTTACTGGCCACTCTGACTTTTCTTCATCAGTGACATTTTCTCTCCCCTCAGAAAAATGTTTAATCCTTTTGTACACTGCTGTTTAATTCATGGCATTATCCTTATAACCTTGGACTAATGTGTCCCTGACTTCATTTCCATTCTTGCCAGGTTTAGCAAGAAATTTACAAATGTTCATCCATTGCTCTAATTTAAGTTTCAACATTGTTAAGACAGAACACAAAAACACAATAATGAACACCACTTCAGCAAGACACTGCCACACATCCACACAGACACAGCTGCAGGACAGTGGTACACCAAGGTTATGAACTCTTACTGAGTTGTCTGTACAGTGTTGCCCGGTGTAAGCACACTGTAGCAGGTTCACAAACTTAATTGTCAGACCTCATGTGTGGGTTTGTTTCTGAGTCTCTTCTGTTCCATTGATGTGTGTGTCTACCTGCAGGCTAGTACACTCTTGAGTAACATAGCCTTCAAGTAAGTCTTGAAACCTGGTGACTCCTCCAACTTTATTCTTCTTTTCAAAATGATTTTGAATGTTCTAGGTCCTTGGTTCAGATAAATGAGGGAATCAGTTTCTACAAAAAAGTTTGCTAGTGTTTTAATTAAAATTGTGTTCAGTCTGTAAATCAATGTGGGAAAAGCCCTAATGACACTGACTCTTCTGCTCCACAGGTGTGGTGCATTTGTCTGTTAATTCTTCTCAGTCTTGGAAAACCAGTGTATTAGTTATAGTTGCTCTTTATAGATTCTTGAAGACGTTTCTACACAGTCTTACTGTCTGCAAATATAGCTTTACTTCTTCCTTTTCCATCTGTGTGTCTTTTCTTTGTGTTGCCTTATTGAATTGGCTGGCTTTCCCAGTGCAGTGTTGAATAGTAAAACAGATACTCTTGCCTTGTTCAGAGTGTCAAGGGGAAAGTATTGGGTGTTTTATCCTTAAGTGTGATGATGTGAAATGTAAGTTTCCCTCCAATGTCAAGTTGGAGGAGGTTACTTTGTAGTGCTGGTTTATTGAGGTGCTTTTTCTGTAATATTGAGGTAATCATTTGATTTTTCTCCCTTATTCTGTTAATATGGTCAATTATATTAATTTTTAAATAATAAATTAACTTTGCCCTTGGTCATGCTATTTTATCCTGTTTATATATTTCTGGGTTCTCTTCCTAATAATTTTGTTACAGATTATTACACCTGTTGTGCAGAATACTGGCCCATTGCTTTCTTTTCTTACAGTAATTTTGTCTGGTTTTGATATTACAGTAATGCTGGCCTCAAAAGATATGTTGAAACTGTTCCTCCTTCTTCTGTTTTCTGGAAGAGTTTGTTTGTAATTGATCCTTCCTCTTTATATGTATGGTAGCATTTACCAGTGAATCTGTCTGGGCCTGAAGTTTTCTCAGTGGGAAGGATTTTAACAACAAATTTAAATTCTCTAATAGATACATGTCTCCTTGAGTTCTCCGTTGCTATTGATTGCTCTCTGGTAATTTATATCTTTTAAGGAATTTACCTGTTTATTCTAATTTAGTTTTATTGGCATAAAGTTTTTAATGTTTGTAAGGTCTATGGTAATGTCCCTGTCATTGCTAATATTAATAATTTTTTTCTTGATCAGTCTGACTGTATGTATATCAATTTTAATAACTTTTCAAAGGAGCAACTTTCGGTTCCACTGAGGTTTTTTTTTTTTTTTTTGGTTTTATATTTTATCCTTTTTTGTATTTTATTATATTATGCTCTAATTTTTATTACCTCCTCTTTTCTGTTTACTTTGAATTTATTATACTTTTCCTCATTTCTTTTGGTGGAAGCTTAGATCATTGATTTGAGACCTTTTTTCCCCTCTAATATAAAAGTCTAGTGTTCTAAGCACTGTTTTAGCTTTGTCTCACAAATGGTTGTGCTTTCATCTTTTTTTCAGTCCTGGCTATTTCTAATTTCCCTTGTGTTTTCTTCTGTGATCCTGGGGTTATTTAAAAAGTTGTTTAATTTCCTAATATTTGGAGATTTTTTAAGATATTTTTAATTTATTAATACCTAATTTAAATGCAGAGGACTTTTTTGTATCTTCTTTTAAATTTAGTGAGACTTTGCACAATGGCCCGGAATTTATTTTACTATGTTTATATTTATTTATCCATCTTGATAAGTGTTTTATGTACACTTGAAAAGAATATGTTGTCTGTTACTGTGGAGTCATTTATTCTGTAAATGTAAAAAAATAGATGAAATTGGTTAGTAATGTTAATCCAGCCTTCTGTATTCTAACCGATTTTCTGTCTGTTTTATCATTTATTATATGACAGGCTCTAAAATGTGGAAAATGTCTGCAAATAAGTTTATGCTAGTATAACCGTGTTCACTGGCTTATTATAGACTCAGTTCAATAGGTTTTGCTTTATGTATTTTGAAGCTCTTTCTATTAGGCGCATACACAATGAAGATGACCATATCCTCTTGATGAATCCCTTTATCATGAAACATACATTGCTTTGAAATCTACTTGTCTGGCTCGGCGCCTATAGCTCAACCGGCTAAGGCGCCAGCCACGTACACCTAAGGTGGCGGGTTCGAGTCCCCAGCCCGGACCCGCCAAACAACAATGACGGCTGCAACCAAAAAATGGCCAGGCGTTGTGGCGGGCGCCTGTGGTCCCAGCTACTTGGGAGGCGGAGGCAGGAGACTCGCTTGAGCCCGGGAGTTGGAGGTTGCTGTGAGCTGTAATGCCATGGCACTCTACCCAGGGGGACAGCTTGAGGCTCTGTCTCAAAAAAAAAAAAAAAAAAAAGAAATCTACTTGTCTGATATCAGAATATCCAGTCTAGTTCTGTTTTGGTTAGTGTTTACATGGGTTTTTTCCCATCCTCTTACTTTATCTTGTCTCTGCCTTTATACTCAAGGTCAGTTTCTTGTAACCAGCATGTAGTTCGCTGTTGCTTTTCACCCAGGTGACAATCTCTGCCTTTTAATTGGAGTGCTTGCTCAGGCCGTTCAGCGTGGTTATGGGTATGGTCAGGTTAACTCCATCTTCCATCTGTCCTTTCTTTATTCCTCCTCTCCTCGTCCTTTTGGGTGTCTTTTTTTATGAGTTCAGTTTCTCTCCAATATTAGTTTCTTAGGCATACCTCTTCTTTTTATTCTTATTATGCCTTTTTTTTAAAATTAGTTCTAGGAGATTTACAACTTACATTTTTTACTTACACAATTTACCTTCAGATATTATACTTAAATCACTTTACATGTTAGAACCTTAAAACAGAGTACTTCCATTCTCCCCCTTATCGTCTATGGTATTTCTATCATACATTTTAACATATATTCTTGGCCAGGCACAGTTTTTTTTTTTTAATCCTCTTAGTTTAACTTGTCTCCGTCTTTATACTTAGAGTAAGTTTCTTATTGTAATACTGGCACTGTGGGAGGCCGAAGCAGGTGGATTGCCTGAGCTCACAGGTTCAAGACAAGCCTGACCAAGAGCAAGACCTTGTCTCTAAAAAGTAGCTGGGTCTTGTGGCAGGCACTCATACTCCTAGCTACTTGGGAGGCTGATGTGAGGGAATCACTTGAGCCCCAGAGTTTGAGGTTGCTGTGAGCTGTAACACCATGGCACTCTACTGAGGGCAATGAAGTAAAGCTCTTGTCTCAAAAAAAAAAAAAAAAATTCTTTTTTCTTTTAAATAGTAAATAACATTTTAAAGAGTTTTTTTTTTTTTGATAAGGAAAAATAATTTTTTGCTACTTACCCATATGCTTACTTTTTTTTAATTAGACAAGTTTTCTTGCATGTTTTAATTCTTTCAAAGTCAATGAGCAGGAGCTCAGGCTGTCAAATGCAAGATAGGAAAGGAACAAGCTGTAAGGCCCATAGCAGAGGGGGCTGGGCCTTGGGACACACATTCTCTGTCATCGCACGAGGAACATGAGGAGTGAGCCTGTGTGTGAGTAATCTTTATGTTCAGTGTCAGGAAGATAGTGAGCTTGTTTTCAAATAGCTTATTTTGTTTCCTTATAAAAAATAGGTGAGACTGAGGGAGGAAGTAAAGAAGTTGAAATCAGTCACTGCTGGGAGTAAGTTAGTGCAGTGACCAGATAACTGTAGCAGGATTCCCAGGCATTCTGAGAGTCCTCGTGAGGTTGGTGATGATGAATTTATTGTACAAACGATGTGTTCTCTTATGTGTTTGGCTGTTTTGGTTTAGATAAGAACAAAGTCAATAATCTGCTTTCTTGGAGTTGACATCTTGATAGTTATGAAAAGTCAGAGGGAAGAAGTCTAAGATGTTGCATGTGTGTTACTGAACGATGAATAGGGAGGGAACTGAAAGACTAAGGTGCCACCAGGAATTTGTAGTCAAAACAATTGAACAAGTGGATGAGAAGCTGAAGCTGAGATCTCACTTGGTTTTGGAGCTGGAGCAGTTAAGGTGATGGTAAAGGAGTGATGTGTGGCCTTGGGAGCGGATGGCTTCAGGAGGCAAGGAAGAGATCTGGGGAAGACCAAGGATCTGCAGGTCTGTCCTCAGGGATTATGAAGTTACCTGGGGAAAACTGCAGGGCTGGATGGTGAGGAAAACTATCAGCTGGCTGCCAGAGTCTTGAAGAAGGAGAGCCAGTTTGGCAGGTCGCGCTCTGACAAGTGTGTCCTAATGATTTGTTGTTGATTTTTAATAGGAAGCAGTGACAGCAGTACTTATTTTGCTAGTAGTGATTATTCTTCTGGAATATCCCCAAATGGGCAGCAATCTCAGGATACACAGAAAAAGGAAGCATTTCCCAGTTCAGCTGAAGAGCCCATCTGGAGAATGATACGAGAAGTCCCGGAGAGCATTCTCATGACGTATCAGGTACCTGAGAGGTAAGGAAGCACGTGGGAAGGCCCACATTTTATATTTTTGTGTTTTTGATAAAAAGTGGGTTTTTTAATGGTTTATACATACCCCTAGAGAAATGTATTTTCAAATTCATTCATTTGAAGTGACAAATGGTTTCTTAAAAATGAGGATTGTAGTGATAGTACCTCATACGTCTAAACATACAGACTAAATAAATGTCACACATTGTGAGACAAGAAAACGGAGACTGGGAAGGGTGGCTCATTCTGTAATTCCAGCACTCTGGGAGGCCAAGGCAGAAGGATTGCCTGAGCACAGGAGTTCAAGACCAGCCTGAGCAAAAGCCAGACCCCCATCTCTACTAAAAATAGAAAAATTATCCAGGTGTGTGGCAGGTGCCTATAGTTCAAGCTACTTAAAGGGAGGCTGAGGCAAGAGAATCACTTAAGCCAGTGGTTCTCAACCTTCCTAATGCTGTAGCCCTTTCATACAGTTCTTGTGGGTTGCAGCCCACAAGTTGAGAACCACTGGCTTAAGCTCAAGAGTTGAGGTTGCTGTGAGCTGTGATACTTGGCCTTCTACTGGGGGCAACAGAGTGAGACTCTGTCTCAAAAAAAAAAAAAAAAAAAAAAGAGAGAGAGAAAAGAAAACACAGGAGACACTGCTTTCTAGGATGGCTTCTAAGTGCAAAAATGTTTCTGTTAGACCTTTCCTTTGCCCATACTAAAAAAAAAAAGAAGAAAAGCCAAGGGAAATCTTTCTTCTGTGCACCTCATTCAAACATAACCTACTTTCTACCAAGAAAAAAAGGTCTACTTTGCCAGCTTGACAAAGAAATGATTCCGTTAGGTTTTAATGTGTAACATGTTAATAAAATACATAGAGTGTATTACCAACCTAAAAGAAGTGCTACTCATAGACGGCAAGATGAGAACCCCGTGTCTTGTTCAGGAGTGTCATGGTTTTGTTTGCTTGTTTTCAGGGTTAAAGAAGTTGTACTAAAAGAAGACCTAGAAAAGCTGGAAAGAATGAGGCAGCAGCAGCCCCGGTTTTCTCATGGCCAAAAGGAGGAGCTTGCCAAGATCTATTCTTGGGTTCAGAGCCAGACTGTCCCTCAAGAAGCAGACATCCAAGTAAGCACAGTAACACTAGCTGTCACCACTGACAGCTCCGTGCGAGGCAGGGCCTTAACACAGGTAGTAGTCTTGTGTGACCTCAGTGAAAATCTCAGCCCTCACACTTTACTTCTGTGGTGGGTGTTCCCCACCTTACCAGTAAGCCACAAAGTGAGCTGTACAGATGTTAAATAATAGTAAAGCTCATGCAGATGTTAGTAACAGGACAAGGCTGAGCAGTTCATTGGATTTAAATACAAGTCTTTCTTGCCTCCAAGTGATTCTTTTTCTTCCACCAGTTGGAATGTTTGAAGGCAAAAATGAGTAAAGACATGAAATTGTCCTTGTGATGTAAAGGTAATAAAAAGAGTACGATTGCCTGGGGAGTAGAGGTATAAGAGCTACGCAGTTCAAATACGCCTGTGTGTTCGAAATAGAGGTTCACCCCAGAGGTAGTGTTCGTACCACACAGGAACTTCCATGGGACCCAAGTGGTCTTTGTGCTGTTGTGGGGTCTTCCCAGTGAGATCATTTGTGAGAACCAGAACATTAAAGCTCTGATTTGCACTGGTGCCGGCAGCTATGGCGATGGTAGTGGCATTTGTACTAGTAATGAGATCTTTATTCCCACAAGTATCAAGATGTGTGAAAGTGAAGAGTCAAGTTAAAAACTATAACGAAAGAATAAAGTTAGGCGTTCAAACCAGTATTGTTTAAGGCTTACAAAGTAAACAGATTACTTCCCACCACCCCCCTTAGTTAAAATTTAATAACATTCCTTTTATTGTAATACACTGATAGTACATATAACAAAATTTACATTCTTAGCTACTTAAGTGTACATTTGAGTGGCATTAAACACATTCACATCGTGCATCCATCACCACCGTGCATCTCCAGACCCGTTCATCTTGTAAGAGTGACGCTCCGTACCCAGCTCCTCTCCCCTCTGACCCTTGCAACCACCATTCTGCTTTCTGTCTTTCTGAATTCGACTCCTGCAGGTAGCGCCTATGAGTGGAATCATGTACTATTGGGTTTTTTTATTATTGACATATTCATAGACACCCTGCTCTCTTTTGGTTTCTACTTTCATGTCATTTTTTCCCATCCTTTCCCTTTTGTCATATTTGTGTCTAGATCTTTGCAGACAGTGTACATTGAGATAGTACATTTTAAAATCCATTCAGCTAATCTGTCTTTTAATTGGAGAATATAGCCATTTGCATTTAAAGTGATTACTGGTAAAGAAGGACTTGACTTGTATCATTTTGCTACTTCTTTTCAATATGCCTTATAGTTTTTCCCCCTGATTTGCTGCATTACTGTCTTTTGATTTTAGGTGATTTTTTGAAGTAAAATACTTTTATTCCCTTCTCATTGCCTTTTCTATATATCCTGTAGCTCTTTTCTGTATGATAATCATAGGGATTTCATTCAACATTCCAACATTCTATCACTCCAATTTGAATTTATACCAGTATAACTTCAGCAAAACTACTTCCACAGAGCTCCATCCCATCTCTCTTTAGTTATTGATGTTACAGAATTGAATCTTTCTTTTCCTTTGTTTGTTTTTTGAGGCAGAGTTTAACTGTGTCACCCTCAGTAGAGTGCCATGACATCATAGCTCACCGCAACCTCAAACTCTTGGGCTTAAGCGATTCTCTTGCCTCAGCCTCCCAAGTAGCTGGGACTATAGGTGCCCGCCACAATGCCCGGCTATTTTGTTGTTGCTGTTGTTGTAGTTGTTGTTTAGCTGGCCTAGGCCGGGTTTGAACCCACCAGCCCCAGTGTATGTGGCCAGCACTGTAACCACTGAGCTATGGGCACCAAGCCCAGAATTGAATCTTTAGTATACATTCTGTGTCATAAAATATAAACTAATCCTTTTATGCATTAATCTGTTAAATTACATAGAAAAATGCAAGATTATAAACCAAAGTTTATAATAACACTAGCTTTTGGACTAGTAGTTTTCTTTGATTGTATTAGTCTCTTAAATCATGTAGAAAACAAAAAGGGGAGTTACACATCATCATTACAATAATACTGCTTTCTTAATTTTCGTGTTTTGCCTTTACTCAGAGCCTTGTTTAGTCACACAACTGTAAGTTACTGTCTCGAGTCATTTCATCTCAACCCACAGGGCTGCCTTTAGCATTTCTCGTGTGGCAAATCTAGTGGATTCTTTTCTTCTGTATGCCCAGCGTTTGTTTATCTACAAAGGTCTTAATTTCTCCTCATTTTTGGAGGACAGTTTTGCCAGATACAGGATTTCTTGGTTGATGGGTTTTTTCTTGAAGCACTTCCCATGTATATATTGGCCTACTGCCCTTTGGCCTTTGAAGTTTCTGTTGAGACATCTGCTGATAACCTTATTGAGAGGCCCTTGGATGCGCCAAGTTGATTGTCTCTTGCTTTCAAGATGCTGTTTATCTTTGGGTCATGGCTATTGAATTACATTGTGTCTCAGTGTGGGTGTCTTGAGTTCATCCTGCTTGGAGTTCATTGAGTTTCTTCAATATATTGTCTTTCATCAAATTTGCAAAGTCTTTGGCCTTCTTTCTTCAAATAACTTCTCTGCCGCTTTCTCTTTTCCTTCTTCTTCTGAGTCCCACACGTGCTTATTTGGTCCGTTCAGTGGTAGCCCCAGGTATCTTAGGAGATTCACTTTTCTTCAGTCTTTTTTCTTTCCATCTCTCAGACTTGACACTTTCACTTGACCTCTCTTCATTCATAGACTCTTTTCTTCTGCATGCCCAGATCTGCCTGTGAATACCTCTAGTGAATTTTCATTTCAGTTTTGTACTTTTTAGTTATAAAATTTACTTTGGGTTTCTTTTTAGGTTTTCTCTCACCATTTCCATTTTGTTCATATGTAGTTTTCTTGACTTTTCTCTGTATTTTTGGGTAGTTCCTAGAGCATATTTAAGGCAGTTGTTGTCAGGTCTCTGTCTAGCAAATCTGTCATCTGGTCTTCCCCAGGGAGTGTTTCTGTTTATTTTTTATTTCCTTTGAATAGGCTACACTTTTCTTTTTCTTTTATGCCTTGTGATTTTTTTGTTGCTGTTGCTGAAAACCGGACATTTGAATCTAATAATATGTACAGTAAGTCTGGAAATCAGGTTCTGCCCCTTCTCCGAGATTTGCATATTTTTGTTTCTGTTTTTGTCTTTTTATTATTATTTCTTTTTTTTTAAGACAAAGTCTCATTCTGAGACTTTAGTGAGTAGAGTGCTGTGGCCTCAGCCTCACTCACTTGATCCTTGACTCAAGTGATGCTCCTGCCTCAGCCTCCCAAGTAGCTGGGATTGTAGGCTCCTGCCAGAACACCCAGCTAGTTTTTCTATTTTTAGTAGAGATGGGATCTTGTGCTTGGTCAGTGTGTTTTTGAACTCCTGAGCTCAGGCATGAGCCAGTGTACCCAGCCATTTTATTATCACTGTTATTATTACTATAGGCTATATCTCTGCTAGGGATTAGTAGGTGTAAACTTTGAGTCTTTTCAGATCTTTTAAAGTCTTCTCCTTTCCCTGGGCATGCATGGTAACTCTCTAAATTCCCCCACATACGTAGTTTCTTTTGAAAGTCCTAGACTAGACTTGGTGCCCGTAGCTTAGTGGTTAGGGCACTGGCCACATACAGTGGGGCTGAGGGGTTCCAACCCAGCCCAGGCGTGCTAAAAACAGCACTGACAACTACAACAACAACAAAAAATGGCTGGGCATTGTGGCGGGTGTCTGTAATCCCAGCTACTTGGGAGGCTGAGGTGAGAGGATTGCTGAAAGCCCAAGAGTTTGAGGTTGCTGTGAGCTGTGACACCACGGCATTCTACCCAGGGCAATAGCTTGAGGCTCTGTCTCAAAAAAAAACAAAACAAAACTGTACTTAATACAAAAGTAGATGCTCCAGTCTACACACTACGCTATAAGGTAGGGCCTTTTGCTCCTAGTCTATAAACCTGCACAACATGGGATACTGAATATTGTAGTCAGTTGTAACACAATGGTAAGTTTTTGTCTATCTGCGAACATAGAAAAGGTATAGTAAAATATGATATAGTTATAGGGGACCCCACCGTTGTATATGTAGTCCATCATTAACTGCAAAGTTGTTACGTGTTACATTATTAAAACAATTTCTGTCCTTTACCTTCTAATAATTAAGAACTATAATGGGTATTTTCAGACATGAATAAGTTAGGGAGTTAGAAATATGTTGCTTGGCTAGTTTTTTCCTGACTTCAAAACTCTTCAGATGACATTAACATCAAATAACCTGCATGCTCTTGTTTTTTGGAGGACTGTGCCACTGGTGAAAACAAAGGTTCAATTGATGCTGCTGCAGAATCCTGTGGTCAGGACCCAGCAGAAGACAGCAGTTGAGTGGCTATGAAGATGCACCTGCGTGCCCTTTCCCTGCCAGCCCAGACGGATAGACCTTTGTGCTTATCTCTTTCAATCCAGTACTGTCAAATGACTGTGAAGTTACAATTGAATGTTAAGGCTTTTCCTTCTTGATTTTTTTAATATATATCTTTTTCTGAAGCAGATATTGTACATAGAATCTTATTTGTTTCTATTCTTTACATATTAGAACTGTCAGACTCTTTTTCTAGTTTAGGTGTCTTCTAAAGAGATTGGATACCCTCTAAAGAGGTACATGTGTGGTAAAACTGTATTTCAGGTGTCACCCAAAATAAATTAGAAGTGTAGCTACTATGATCTCCAAACCTTAGCCTCATCTGTTGTATTCCCTTGTTAGGGAAATTATTTTCCCCGTTAGTGTACTTGAGGAGGTCCCCCTCCGAGTAGGCCGTGTCCTTTTCATGACGGTTTCCATGAAGTTAACACCTTCAGATAGACTTCGTGCTGGTTGGTGCTTCCCCTGTATCATTCAGAGAAATCGTTCCAGTGTTCTCACAGCATACTGAAACATTATCCATTAGTATATCTGGAAGTACCTACATCTTCATTCTTGTAGATGCCTTTCTTTTTGATTTTCCACCTTCCACTGAAATTCTGGAAGTCTTACTTAATTGACCAGTTTACAGTGGGCTGATTCTTTGGAGAGTTGCAATTAGCATTTTCATGTGTCCTGTTAAAAGATCTCCTTAATCAATAGTATTTCCCTTTTTAGTGTTTTTATTTTAAGATAATGATTGTAAAAAGTTTCAGGGGTTATCTAAGAATTAATATTCTTAATACGCTTTATGTTTAAATGTTCAGTCTTACCAAACTAACAATTAATTCTTTCTTTCCAATCAATTTACACAAAAGACGTCTCTCCATCCCTGCCAGAGGCGTGATTGCCACTGCCTTTCCTATGCCCTTGACTAGGGGTAAGTGCTGTGGGGGATACTTGCCGAGAGAATAGTCGAGAGAGCTCACTCCTCCCAGCCAGCAGGGGGCTGTGGTGCCCCGTGAATCTTTCTGTGCCCCTTGTGTCTTGGAAGGTGTGAGTGTGGTTGTTCACTTGATAAGTCAGCTCACTGTCTGGGCTCTAGAGAGTGACTCCTTCTCAAATTTAGAATGATAGGTGAAATTCACACTCGTGAAGATAAGAGAGAAAATAAAAGAAAATGAAACTTACAATATAACCTTTCCCTTCATGTAACTTTTAAACTAACTTATATTTCTTATTTTTGTTTTTTGGTTTTAAGAAACATCTCTTTGAAGTTTTATAGCTTTTTACAAATGCATCCTGATAATGACTAAGAGAAGCGGTCACCATCCGTGACCACGGTTTTCCATCCGTGGTGACAGTTGGGCCCTGATTCTCCCTGTAGCTCAGAGTGTAGTGGTTTTCTGGATGGTAATCCTATCATAATGTGTCATTCTCAGATGCTGCATTTGACATTTCTTGGCATTTTCTAATATTAAGCAGTTTCATGCAAAAGCTCCTATTTTATAAGTGGAGAATGCTCATATTCTATCTACTCCATTTTGATAGTTAGAAGATTTTTGAAGCCTGTGTCTGTATTGGTCAAATTATATTTTTGTTATTGGTGGAAAATCAAATTTTGCTATTAACCATCTAGTACATTGTCCACCAGTGACCTCTATAGTAAAAAAGTTTTTATTTGTATGGATAAAGAATAATGTGTATAGCTATCAGGATCCTCCTGCAGTCGTGTGTGCGGATTTTAAGCCTTATGTTCTTCAATAATGTAAGCTCTTCTTTTACATTGTTTCTGGATATTTGTTTTTTCTAAATTTGCTTATTTCTTTGCCTTAGTACACATTTTATGAAGTGTATATTATACTAGGCTTGATTTGAAACTGGTGCTTGTTATAGAAAGATCTGTAAAACTGTAAATTTTCATCTTTTGGTAAATAGATTAGTCAGTACATTTGAGATTGATCCTGCTGCCCAAAGTAGCAGTGGAGACTAGCAGTGATGACTGCTGCCCCCCACGGGGGCTTTACCCAATCTAAACTTTGTTGTTCAAGTTTAACTTTTTATATTAATGACTATAAACAATGATAATAAGAATGTATATTATAGGCTTCAATGTTTACATAAATGTTACCCAAAAGCTGTATTTTGGGGAGTTCGAGGTCAAGATGTATGAAAAACAAGATATCATATGAATAGAATCGTTTTTCAATTAAGTGCACCTTTATGATAAATTCACAAGGTAAATTTAATCCACATTGAAATTTTGTTTCATCCGAATTCACAATTGACTCTATGAATTTACTTGTTTTTAGTCATTACTAATATTTTAATGGGTATCTTTTTTTTAAGTAAAAGCAGTAAATAAACATGTACACATAAAACTTGAGAAATTTTCTTGCGCTGTGTTAACAGGTGTTTCCCTGAACTTGTATTTTACATCATTTGGAACTGTTTCTAGGCTCCACTGAAGGCTGCTCGCGTTAGGCTCGTGCTGCCTTCCCAGCTCCACCGTGTCTGCGTCATCAGTGTGCCCGGCACCTCCTGTGCGAGATGCAGGTGCAGGCGGCTTCCCATCCAGTGGCTTTTTTAATCCTCCCTTCAGCACTGTGTAGAATTTATTAAGTCTTGAATGTATGTACATATTTTTAATTAATTTTAATGCCAACTTTATAAAATTTCATTATCTAAATCATAGGGTGCACCTCTGTTTCACAAAGTCTGATTGTGTAACTGGTGGCAACAAAATATAGAACAAGATCCTGGAGCCAAAAAGGCTTTTTAAAAGGTTAAAGATTACACTGAAGAGAAACCAGAGTGTACAACAGGGGGTTTTAAAGTTTATACCTTTTTTTTTTTTTTGAGACAGAGTCCCACTATGTCACCCTTGGTAGAGTGCTATGGCATCACAGCTCACAGCAACCTCAGACTCTTGGTTCTCAGCGATTCTCTTGCCTCAGCCTCCTGAGTAGCTGGGACTACAGGCGCCCGCCACAGCGCCCGACTGTTTTTTGTTGCACTTGTTGTCTTAGCTTGCATGGGCGGGATTCTAACCCGCCAACCTTGGTGCATATGGCTGGTGCCATAACCACTGTTTTATGGGTGCCAAGCTAGAAGTCCATTTTTAAGCTATGTTTGGTATTAAAAATATAAAATATGGGCGGCACTAGTGGCTCAAAAGGGTAGGGCATCCGTCCCATATGCTGGAGGTGGCAGGTTCAAACCCAGCCCCAGCCAAAAACGGCAAAAAAAAAAAAAAAAAAAAATATATATATATATACACACATATATATATATAAAAATTAATAGTTTTGTAGTGCCGTAGTTCTGTTTCAGAGAACCGTTATTAGTTTAAATCCAACACTGAGAGGCCACCACGTTATCACAGTTACACTTACTGTCACCATATGTCTGAGATCTTGTATCTCATCTTCCAGTTGAAAACCTATTTCCCTGTAGATTTCTTCTTGATACTGTAAAGTAAGCTTTATCAAAACAGTGCTCTACAAGAACTGTGTGACCTCTGTTGATATGTTTGGCTACTGCCAAAGCTCTAACCCTGGCTCCTCATAGACACTCGTGCTCTCAGTTCTGCTCAGAGCTCCAGAAGTTCGCCCTGTACCTTCTATACACATAGAAACAACAGTTAGAGATGTAGGAATGGAGTAAAAACCCATATTTACACATACACGTGCTTTTTAAAAATTAATAAACAAGGCTAATTTTTCTGTAATCTTAAATCTCATTTCAGCTTTGTGTAAGAAACCCAAAGGTCTTTCCCCCTAGTGTAAATGGATTATGATCCTGGAGTTTACAGAAGCCAAGATCAAATAAATTTCAGTATTACAAAATTAACATTTTCAAGTGTTCAATACTTCAGTCATCTAAGAAAGAATCTGAGCACATGGACGTCTCCTCAGATACTAAAGAGCATTCAGTCTGTTCTCAGCTCTATCTTCAGGCATCCTTCACTCAGGTATTTCCAAACTAAGATCCTAAGTTAAAAAAACCTATTGTGGGCAGCACCTGTGGCTCAAAGGAGTAGGGTGCCAGCCCCATATGCCGGAGGTGGCAGGTTCAAACCCAGCCCCAGCCAAAAACTGCAAAAACAAAACAAAACAAAACAAAACTATTGTTATAAGAAAGTAGTAACATATCAATGTTTAAGAGGACCTTGTAAGCAAAAATAATAGTTTATTTGTAAATGGTTTGTAGTTTAATTTCAACTATTACAACTTTCTTAGTATTTTCTTCTGTTCATTAATTTTACTTCTAAATTTTCAAAGAATTCTTGAAGGATAAATTGAAGGAAGAAGATGAATTAGCTTTCAGGATAATTTATAGGAAAAATAGTCACTCATGGTATTTGCAAAACATAGAGGATTTATTTTTCAAATAATAAGGAACAGGGTATAGTTTGCCTAGTTTTTCATTCTTTCAAACCAAGCATTTTTATTTTTAATTTTCTAAGGTGTAGGTATTTGAGTTAACTAATTGACTTTGATTTCACGTTAGACACAGTATTTCCAGAAGCATTCAGAAGGAGTCCCTCGTTTCTTGTATTCTTTCCTGGATCTGGCCAAAAGATGACTCAATACAATAGCAGGGTCTTGTCCAGAAAAATCCTGAAACTAAAAACAAAAACCCAGATCAGTTATCAATGAATTAAGAGTCTTACAAGAAAAAGGAATCTTATGTCAAGATTTTGGGCTTTTTAAAAAAGCATTTGCTCTGTTCTCTGGACTATCGTGGCATGAGAGTGGGACTCGGGGGGGCTCCTGGTCTGTGCAGTATTCCCCCCTGTGACTGCAGGAATAAAACCCTTGACCTATTTCTGTTTAAATCACCTGTCAGTGATGTGTCCTGTGCATTGATTATCTCCTGTGTAAAATACTTGTCTCGAAATTAACTTCTTTAAAAGTTGACCCCTTTTTTTCTTTTTATTCTAGAATAAAATAGTAAGAGTATATCTTACTTATCACCTGTGTGATTTTACAGTCTTCAGTCACAGTCTTTCTATTCAGGAGAATTGAAGCATCTGAATGGTAACTTTTAATTAGCCACATGAAGAAGCCACACAGCCGTTCCTTGGTGGGTCACCCAACTTGGGGTTTTGGGTGGTGTGTGCCGTCCAGGGTTCAGTATTTTCCGGAGTATATTTTTGCTAGAATGTTAATGTGTATTACACAAAAACGATATCTCTGATCAAAATGTTTAGGAAAGACAAATGTAAATACCTTTATCCCCTGATTTCCTGGGAGACCTTAAAGTGCCCCTGGATGGCCAGCCCAGAAGACACCAATTCACAGGTTTCTCCGGGCTGATAATGATCAAATACAGATTTTTCTTTTAGCATTTAAAGCCTTGTGTTAATTGCATGCCGTTTCTAATGGTTTGATTTTATCGTTCATCTTTCCCTGTCAGTCTTTGTACCATCCCCACACTAATTTTCTAGGAATTCTGTGATGCACAAGTTTCATCTCTGTTTTGAGCATGTCACTCTTCCCTTTATGTGCCACATCACAATTCTTTTGCTATGTCAGGTGCTTAGGAGTCACCTGGGGGTCTCCGCCAGCTGCAGGTTTTGATTCAGTGGGCTCAGGGTGGGTTCTGAAATTCTGGCTTCTCACAGGCTCCCCTGTGAGGGCAAAGCTGCTGAACTGTAGGCCCTGTGTTAAGATGAGTAAGAGCCCACGTGGACGGCAGACCTGGCTGCAGGGGACTCTTCATTGCCTTCCAACTTGTACTTTACCCAAAACAGGCACTGGGTAAGTTCTGGTTGTGTTCATTTTTAATATCAATCAAAAATTGGAGAAATTAATGCTGTGAAATAACACTGGCCAGTTATTTTAAGGTGTAGTTTCCACCAAGAACACTCATAAAATTAAGATCCTAGTTTGGAACCAGCCTGAGCAAGGGCGAGACCCCTATCTCTACTAAAAACAGAAAAGTAGCCGGGCCTTGTCGCGGTGCCTGTAGTCCCAGCTATGTGGGAGACTGAGGCAGGAGGACCACTTGAGCCGAGAGTTTGAGGTTGCTGTGAGTTGTGATGACAGCACAGCACTCTACTAAGGGTGACAGAGTGAGACTCTGTCTCAAAAAAAAAAAAAGAAAAAGATATTAGAAAATGGAGTATATGTTTGACATTTTTTACCTCTTGTAAGTAGAGTCACTTACCTTCCTCAGATTTCCTCTTGGGTTAAAAATGTTGATGCTGGGATCTGGAAAACAATTTGAAACCAATTCACATCTATTATTTCTATGTTCAGCTTGTTTTAAAACATACAGAAATAGAATATGGCCAGACTATGTTTATGTTCTCTGGTCTTTTTCCGCACTGTAGAGATAGTTACTCAAATGCAGACAGGCAGGCACTCTTGTTCTCATCTCTGGAGTTGACAAAGGCGCTGCATTCACCTGGGTAACTTAGCAACTCAGTAGTTTATCAAAAATATTAGCAAAGAGCTCATATCTATCAGTGCCTATCGGAAGGTGGCGTTTTGTTTCTAGAACTTCCTAAGTCCTGTGTCAATGCTTGGAGGAAAACATTCATGGAGAAAATAAGCTGACATTTTATGGATTATCTTCATGTGACTTGCTGACCCTTCACAATAACCCTATGAGATGGACATTTTTATCTTTTCTGCTCACAGATTAATAAATGAGAACACAGAAAATTATGTAATTTGTTTTTAAGATTTTAATAAGCAGGAAACCAGGATTTTTAATTCTACTCATTGGAAACTAGAATGATTAACACCAACCAACCCCCCAGTAAAAGTCCCTTCTGAAAGAGAGGACCCTGAGGCACTGAGCAGAGCTGGTGCTGCTTTCCAGAAGCCGGGGAGAGGAACCAAGTGGAGGGGTCAGGAGGGAGAGTGCGGGGCGCCCACTCGTTTTATATAGCTCATCTCTATGTTCCAAAATGCAATTTGACCTCATCAAGTAGATGGGAGTACAGCACAAATTCAGTAGCAATGAAATCAGACAACCTGTAAACACAAGGATAATTTTACCTGCGTTCCTAAGACCATCCCCTCTCTCGGCACCAAGCATCTCCAGCAGCACCTGCAGGAGGGAGGCACTCCCCGGGGCCACTGGAGTCAACCTGGAATCTTCACCTTGTGCTACGGAGTAAAAATAGATGCAAAACTCAGTTCATCCTTGGGTGAGCTGCTTCTGTCCCTGTTGTCTTTGGTGAGCAGCAGGGACAGGGAGGTGAATACTAGAAACACTTCCAATGCCAAGTGTGTGATCTGTCACTAGCAATATTTTAAAAGAGATGTGGAGATGTTGCCATCCTGTTTGCCAGCCAGCAGTGGCTCTAATGCTGCCTACACTGCCCGTGTGACCTGCCCAGACACTCAACCTGCCTTGAATAAGACAGGAGAGCTGAGCCTTATTCCTGAAATCCCTGCCTTCCTTTGGAACTGGCCCACCCGCATGTCATCTGCTGCTGCCTGTTGCGTGTGCTCTCAGGTATTTTAGATGGTGAAATTGGAGCAAGAAAAATAAAGCAAAGATTGTTCATGTTCCTCCTATAAAGCAAGTGGGAGGAACTGTCACCTTATTGGACTTAGCTTGCTGGAGTCACCTGACTGGACTTCACGATTCAGACACAATTATCCTACTTAGAAAAGAGTCAGTGTCAAAATAGTCTTTAAGGAGCTTGACTGGCATTTCCCATGTAAAATGTGGTTAAGTAAATGGCATGGAAGTGTGTGGCAGGTGTGCATACCACGTGTGCTAATGTGCACGGGAGGGGTGGTATGTGAAGAGCTGGCACCAGGACAGGTCACAGCCAGGAGCTGTGCTGTGGGAACTGGAAGCTGTGGTGAGGACGGGAGGCCACCCAGCGCTGGCACTGGGCTTACAGATAGCTACAACCTTGACTGGAGGACAACGAAAAAGCCACCACGAAGACATCTGGGCACATTCCCAGTGTTTCTAATGAATATTAATGAAAATTGTGAAATTTGATTACACTTTGCTTATGTCATAAAGGCTTATCATTTTTCAAATGAATAAACAATCTGGCAAAAACTGGAAGGTAAGCTGCCACCTGTTCAGAATTTGAGATGCTACACTTATTTCATCCAAGTTTTTTAACATTGTAATAATTACGTGTACATTTTTGAGGATGACAGTGTTATCAGAGTATTCATTCTTGATTTTGTGACTGTCACTGTTTCGTTTTGAATAGCAGAGATCCAGTAAAACTCATGCCTGTTTGACCTCTCCTGCCATTTGTGACCTCAATAGAAGCTGGTCGGTACCAAATAGTGCCTGGCAGTCGTCCCAAGCTGAGTGGGATGAACTTGTAGAGACTAGATTGTACAAAATTAATGGCTTAGATGAGTTTTTCATTTTTTAAAAATTCTAAAAGTACTCAAAGTTAAAAGACAAAATTCCAGTTTGTTATGGAACCTAATACCCAAGCATCAACTTTATTTCTTTCAACTAATAGTTGAATATAGTAGTATATTAGTAAAAAGTAAAGCAGATAATAGTAAAGAAGTTACCTACTTGACTAGTATTTTTAAAAATCCAACTTAGACTTAATAGTGAGTGAGCATTAGCCACGAGGAAAGGTATATAGCATATATACTCACATAGCATAGACATTTTCTGTTTCATCTAACACATGTCAGATGATGAGTTTTTAAGTTAATATAAGATAAATATGTTAATCTACAATTAGAACAACCAATTCTACATTCTACCAGTTTGTTTAAAATAAAAACTAAAAGTAATGTTTTAAATTTAGCGCAGTTTTTTAAATTGAGGGGAAAAAAATGTTGACCAAAACCAAAGTTTGAATTGCAGAGGCAGCATGTAACAAGCAATTCTGTTATTCTACTTGCACGTTTTAGGAGGAAAAAACTATGCATCACTGTCTAAAATGCATAGTAAACTTCCTTTAATATTCTTTTCAAAGCTGGGACTTTTGAAGTAACAAGACTCCTTTGAGTAAGAATTTCATTCTTATCTGCAACATTACATTTAAGATTAGTGAAGACTCTTTTTCAGACTAAAAGAAAAGCAAAAAAAAAAACTTCTTACCTGAGAGCTGGAGGGACACTTCCCTGGAGTGGGTGATAGGAAGACATAAGAAAGGATTTAAGAATCCGATCAAAAGCAGACAGCAGGAGGCCAGTTTATACATGATGAGTAAGAGACAGGAGTCTTCCTCTCTGGCTTCTGCTGTAGGGAACTTTCGACTTGCTCCTTCTTGTTCTGTGATCTCCCATTATATATACCACGCTGTGACCTCATATCATCCTCTCCAAAAAAATAAATTTATTGGCTGTGGGAGCTAAAAGGCAATCACTTTGCATTGATGTAATTTTCAAGGTAACAATTCATCCACAATAAATCTCCTGTCTTGTTGCTTAGTGTACAAAGTAGGTATTACATAAAGAACAGTTAAGTGTATAAATCTGGCAAAAAGAATAATTTACAGCCATAAATCAGGAGCTAAAGAAAGGGTCAGATACGGCTTGAGTAGCCAACACAGAGAGACGTGGATTTATGAGTCCTCACAGAAGTGACGCACAACACGACATGAAATATGTCAGTTTCCTTTTTTTAATCTTTTGTCAGTGAATAGATGGGTTGTCACGGTGTGTTTGGGGCTGCCATCCCTGAGGAAGGACAACATGTGGATTAAAACTTGAAGCCAGTTATTTCCCTTAAAAATAGTGAAGATAAGTTAAAATCCACAGCAAACGTCGCGCGAGGCTCAAGACCAGTTCCCTGTGTACTCTCAGCCTCGTGAGAAACTGCACACGTGGGACTCTTCAGAGAGAGGGGCTGACTCTCCGTCAAGTGGGACATCAGTCATCAAAGAGGTGAAGAGCTTACTCCCAAACCTCAGTAGTGAACACTTCCAGAATTTGGCCTCCACACCACCTGGGCTCTGCCCAGCCCCATCCAAGCCCAGATGATGGTAAAGATCCCGTAACAAGCCTTGAGTCTGCATCCGGCCCCGCGGACCATCCCTGCACAGCAGAGTAATGCCTCTGCATCCAGCCCTGCGGACCATCTCCACACAGCAGAGTGATATTTCTAGCACGTAAGTCACAGTATGTCAGTTCTTTGCTTAAAGTTCTGTATTGGGCCGGGCACGGCAGCTCACACCTGTAATCCTAACACTTTGGGGGCCATGGCAGGAGGATCCCTTGAGCTCAGGAGTTTGAGACCAGCCTGAGCAAGAATGAGACCCCATCTCTACTAACAATAGAAAACTAGCCAGGTATTGTGGTGGGCACCTGTAGTCCCAGCTACACAGCAGACTGAGGCAGGAGGATCTCTGGAGCCTGGGAATTTGAGGTTGCTGTGAGCTAGGCTGACGCCATGGCCGGCAGCCTGGAGCAACAGAGTGGTCTCCAAAACAAAACAAGAGGAACAAAAAACCTCTATTGACCTAAACATAAACGTGACAACAAGACGACTACTGGGGGAAAAAAACATGAGCAGCTTCATCACCTCAGGTTAAGCAGATCTTCCTTAGAGTGGGTACCAACCGCTTAAGAAAAAAACTGGGACAGGAATAAGTTCAGGAGACCCATTATACCTCATGGTGACTATAGCTGCATTATACTGGATACTTAACAATAGCTCGGAAATAATTTTTATTCTCATCGTTAAAAAACGTAGGTATATGAGGTAAATAAGGCACATGGTAATTCATTTTATTTAGCCATTCCACAGTGTATGTAGATATCAAAATGTACATCACAAATATACAATTTTGTCACTAAATGAATGAAAAAATGGATAAATTAGACTTAATGAAAATTAGACATCTGCTCTTTAAAAAAGCCACAACTGTGAGAAAATAGTTGCAAAATATGTTTGACCAAAGACTTTCTTCAGAACATATATATAAAGAACCATGACTCAGTAAGCCAAACAACCCAATTTAAAGAAGGAGCAAAAGGTTTGAACAGACACTTCACAGGAGAATATAAGTGGCTATTAAGCACATAAGAAAATAATCATTAGTCATCAGAGAAATGTGAATTAAAATCACCGTGAGCTGCGGCTGCCCAGCCCCCGTTGCCCTGCAGTTGGAAAGATAGTACTCGGTATACACCAGTAAGGTTTGTCATCTTGCAAGTTTTATCTTGTATCTCTTTAATTGCAGAAGTCAAATGTGACTTGAGTGTTATAAGTTTAATACAATTTTTTCCTTTCTTAACATGTTATACATTTTTTGGCACCCTCCATATACCTGAAGGAAATAACAGAACAGACGCAGAAAGATTCCCTGGAGGGATCATCAGCAGCTTCACGTACGGTGGCCGTAAGTAAGAGGTGGTGAGGTGTGCACGTGAGTAGGTGATGCAGGCTCAGTCAGTGACAGTAGGGGTGGGGGGCAGCAGCACGGTGGAGACCTGTCATCCCTCAGAACCAAACCCAGCTACAGTCGTCATGCTACAATGTTAGAAATCTGAGCTGCCCCCGAACAACTAATTTGAATTTTTAAAAAATCCAGACAAAGTGCTGTGATCCTACAGTACTGTGTATTTCAAACAAAGCACATCCACAAGCCATAATTCAACCTACAGGCACCAAATTTGGGCCTACATCAATGCGTAAGTTAGTAACAACATGTCATTCAGAAATCAATGAAATAGTAACAAAATGAACATGGAAATTGGAAAATCATGACATTAAAGAACTGGACTACCAGATGGTTGCAAAAAGCAATGCAGGTGGGTGCTGCTGTGGGATACTACAAAACTGAAAATAGTGGTGACAAAGCATTCTTTTTTTTGAGACAGAGCCTCAAGCTGTCCCTCTGGGTAGAGTGCCGTGGCATCACAGCTCACAGCAACCTCCAACTCCTGGGCTCAAGCGAGTCTCCTGCCTCAGCCTCCCAAGTAGCTGGGACCACAGGTGCCTGCCACAATGCCCGGCTATTTTTTGGTTGCAGCCAGTCGTTGTTTGGCAGGCCTGGGCTGGATTTGAACCCGCCACCTTAGGTGTATGTGGCTGGCGCCTTAGCCACGTGAGCCACAGGTGCCGAGCTGACAAAGCATTCTTAAAGTGTTACTGATATATATAGATGTCTGTATGTGTGCGCTGTGTGTGTGTGTGTCTGTGTGTGTGTGTAAAGTGCTCCAGGTCTTGCCAGGATGGGGGAAGGACAGGCCGAGAGATTGAGGGGTCCTTGACAACCCTTGGGGACAGTTTCAGAAAGAGGCAGGAGGTGAATTCCACACTCCTTCCCTCCTCCGTGGAGGAGGCCGTTGGCAGAGCTTTGTCACTCTCTGGTGACTCAGGGGTACTTCTGACAGTTATTAGTGACGGTTTTATAGCTTGGCCTAATTAAGTTAGTACTAAAGGCTTAAGCTGAAAAGAAAATTAGCTTCTTTCCTTCAACAGACCATCAATGACAGTGTCACCTTGTCCCAGAAATGTGCTGAGCGCGAGCACGTCATCCCACCCTAACGGTCCTGTCTCAGGCAGTGAAGCTTTCACATATGTCGGGATGCATAACGATGACCTAGAAAGGCCGATTCCTTTAACTGCAAAGCACTTTTTTTTGACAGTCTCAAGCTGTCACCCTTGGTAGAGTGCTGGGGCATCATAGCTCACAGCAACCTCAAACTCTTGGGCTTAAGCGATTGTCTTATCTCAGCCTCCCAAGTAGCTGGGACTACAGGTGCCTGCCACAATGCGCCATAATGCCTGGCTATTTTTGTTGTTGTTGTTGTTGTTGTTGTAGTTGTCATTGTCGTTTTAGCTGGCCCAGGTCAGGTTTGAACCTACCAGTCTCAGTGTATGTGCAAGGCAACTTTTTAAAACACAGGGGTATTTTTTCCATGTTGAGAAGCAAACCATTCACATTTTGAGTGATTTTTGCTCCTGAAGTACCAGTATTCATTAGATAAGCATAAAAATCACCAAGTGTAGGCCCCACGTCCACACGAGTCAGTGGAAGAGCCAAGCTGACCCGGAGCCTCTGACCACTGCCCCATCCCTCAGGAAGGAACCCCTGTCCCTGGGGGCATAAGGTAGACACAGCCATCTGGTCCCAGCAGCCTGCAGGTTTGTGGGACAAGATATGGGCCAGCAAACTCTGCTCACCTGCCTTCCTCCTGGTGGTAACCGGCCCCCCACCATCACCACCATGCCAATTGCCAGAATAAAGCGCCTCTTCACTCTGCAAGGAGCCCCTCCAGGAGCCTGGGGCCACACCTGTCTCCCGTGCTTCTCTGCTATGATCACTCCCCTCTCCCTGGCCTGACTTCCTGGCCTGTCACTCTGAAGGAACACTGGAGGCTGGGCAGTTTGTAAAGAAAGGTTGATCTGGCTCCCAGTCCAGGCTGTATAAGATGCCTGGTGCCAGCACCTGCTTCTGGGGAGGCCTCAGGCTGTTTCTACTCATGCCCGGTGAAGGAGGGTAGGTGGGCAGAACTCAACTTTCTCCACCCCAGGGGACCTTCATCTATTCATGGGGGATCCACTGTTCCCCAGACCCAAGGACCTCCCACCAGATCCCCCCTCTAACCCCAGAGATCAAATTTCAACATGAGATTTGGAGGGGGCCTAACTAACCTCCAAAACACAGCAGGGCCTTTGGCTCTTGCCTCTGCCTGGAGTGCTGTCCCTCAGACGGCCCCGTGGCTGACATGGTCACCTCCTCTGAGTCTTCTGGGATGCTGCATTCTCAGTGACAGTCTTTATTTCAAATTGCAGCCCGCCAGCTCCTACCCGTGTAGGTATATGGTATATTTAAAGTTTTCTGACATAGTATATTTTAAATTTTCTACCTTATTGCTTGTCACCTTTTAAAAAGCATGTATTAGGGCTATCACAAAGGCAGAGATCTCTGTTTTGCCCACTGATGTCTCCCAAGTGCCTAAAACAGTGGCTGGCATGTGGGGGGGTGCTCAAACTCTATTTACTGAATGAATGAATTTTTTTAAATCCTTTAAAATTGGCACACAGGTTCTGTGTTTATTTACCAGCCAAAACCTATTGTCTAGTTATCCATTGCTGTGTAAGAAACCTCCCAAAGCATAGTGGCTTAAGATAACACCCATTTCATCAGCTCATGATTCTGTTGGTGGGTGGCAATTGGGGCCAGCTTTATAGGATGTAGGGAGCCCACTGCTATTGCCTGAGTCACTCTTGTGACCCCTGTTGTCTAAGATGGCCATGTCTGACCATCTGGAGGCTGGTGCTGGCAGGCAGCTGGGTCTCCTTCCATGTCTCTCATCCCCATCCTGGCCCAGGAGAAGCCCCTGGTGTCTCTGGGCAGTAGAAGAGCACACACCAAAGCTATAGGGCCTCTTAGGGCCAAGGATCAAGGTCACTTCCTCTATGTTGTCCTGGTCAAAGCAAGTTCCCAGGCAGGCCTAGATTTAAGGGGTGATGTATCGGTTTGCTGGACTCTCCTAACAAAGCACCACATACCAGGCAGCTTAAACACCTTCAATGCATTCCCTCCCGGGCTGGAGGCTGGAGGCCTGAGACCAAGGCCTGGGCAGAGTTGGTTTCTTCTGAGGCCTCTCTCCTTGGCTATGTCCTCACCTGGTCACCCCCCGCGTGTTTGTGTCCCAATCTCCTCTTCTTATAGGGACACTAGTCAGTTCAACATCATATGAATTTGTGGGGGACACAAGTCAGCCCATAACAGAAGGGGAGAGAAACGCCACCTCGCACAGTGGTTGGGCAGAGGCCCATCCGCCAGCCTCTTCACAGCCCCAGGAGAGAGGGACTCACCTGGCATAAGCTTGGGAGCGTTTCTCGTCATCCCTGCCAGAACTCAAGTTTCTCAGCAGGGACGTCGGTGACAGATGAAAGGGCGTCAGATTAGTGTGGAGAGCAGTGAAACAGAGCTCAGAAAGCTGTGTCCTCTGGGGACAGGGCCTGCAGGAGAAAGTCGAGGCTCTGCCACAAGAGGCCCCAGCCTACCCATAACCTGGTTTCATGCCAGCTAGTCATTTTGCCCAGTGCCAGGCACACATGTCCAGGGCCCTGCGGTTTCTCCCAGCTCAGGTGCTCTTTGCCTTTAGGGCTCCCCCTCATTTCCTGGATGGACGCAGCCCAAGAGTGCCTCTGAGCTTCCCTCCTCCTTCCTCACAAACCTGAAGGAAGGAAGGTACTTAGTGAACTCTGTGCCCACCTGTCTCCTCCATCCAGGACAGAGCTCACAGTGGGCATGAGACACCAGTGCCCCAAGCCTGCTGGAGCTTTGACATGTCCTGCTGAGTCCCACAGTGAGTTCATGCCTAGAGCCAGCGCTCTGTCACTGATCATCAAATTACGTGAGTTTAGCATACATCATGATTCAGTTGCAAAAAAGGGGGAGAGCCCCTGAAATAGCAAGAACTTAGCACAATTCAATAGTCTGGTGTCATGGGCTAAACTGTGTTCCCCCAAATTCATATGTTGAAGTTGTAACCCCCAGTGTCTCAGAATGCAGCATTTGGAGACAGGGTCCTGAAGAGGCAATCAAGTGGAAATGACATCAGAAGGGGGTCACTCCCATCCAACATGCCCGGCACCCTTCTGAGAAGAGGAAATTTGGGCACACACATGAGGGAGAAGACAGAACGGCCTCAGGAGAAACCCAAGCTGCTGACACCTCGATCTTGGACTTCTCGCCTCCAGAACTGTAAAAAATAAACCTCTGTTTCTTGAGCCACCCAGTCTTTCCTTAGCAAGCAGATGAGTCCAGCTGGTTAGCAATGAAGACACATTAAAGCAGACCTGAGGGGGGAGGGGGGATAACCATCAGAGTAACCATTGTGCTAAGAGGATTAGCACAAAATACACGTTCAAAATTTTGCCCCTCTCCCTGCACAATGGCTGCCACAAACTGAAAACAAATCCATAGTTCTTCCAGCACATCCCCAGAAAAGCCTGTCTGCTGCTATTCTGTGCTCTGACAATGTTATTAATGAGGGTGTCCTCCAGGGTTAGCACTCCCCTGGAGTGTGTTGGCCTCCACAGTCACAGCAGAGCCAGTATGATAATGTCTTCCACTCATTTATTGCAGATGCGGCAATGGCTTGCTCATGGGCACAGATTCTGCCAAACCAGTTGCAGAAGGATGAGCTTGAGTTTCAGAGTTCTGATTTTTACTTCAGGCTCAGAGGAGGCAAAAATTTTGCAGTCCTTCCACCAACATCTCTTGAGGCAGTGTGCAAGTGCTTGGCCCTGTGAAGGAAGGCGGGTAAGGACATCAGGGAATAGACTTGACGAGCTCTTAGAATACCCCTGGGGATTCTAAGGGCAGCAAGGGCCCAGCCAGTGCAGCAGACATAGCCCACCCTAGTCCACAAGTCTGTCTTTCCCAGTGAGAGTCAGAAAGCTTATGGCCCTTCCTCCCATGTGACCTTGAGCCTTGGCCCTTTCTCTGTAAGCAAAATAATAATGATGGTGTCAGTGCTTACGCAAGTGTGTCAGGACTCTGTGAACTGTGGGGCAGTGCTATGGACTACATGTGTCCCCCCAAACTCTTATGTTGAACCCCTATTCTCCAATGTGATGGTGTTTGGAGGTGGTGCCTTTGGGAGGTGATTAGGTCATGAGGATGGGGCCCTCCTCAAGGGATTAATGCCCTTATAAAAAGAGGAAGTGACATGAGAGCTCTCTCTCCATCAAGAAGAGGATACTTGTCTGCAAACCGGGAAGAGAGCCCTCACCAGACGCTGAATGTGTTAGCACCTTGATCCTGAACTTCTTGGACTTTGAAACAGTGAGAAGCAACCATTTGTTGTTTAAGCCCTCCGTTCTGTGGTAGTGTGTTGTAGTAGCCTAGATAGACTAAGTTAAGCTGCAGGTGCCCAATGTCTCTAAGAAAGAGGTGAGAGCTGCAGCAGCATCCCCACTTTCCAGATGACCTGCTGTTGCCCTTGATGGGCCTGCGATAGGAGGACTGTTGACTTGTTGCACAGTGTTTACATGCCCTGAAATGACCCTGACCACACTGGAAGGTGGAAGGTGTGTGCCTGATCCCTTTCTGGGGGCCACTAGGTGCCTGGGGGTCCCTCCACACAGTGATGCCCAAGAGCACCAACTTTGCAGAGTTGAACCACATGGCTCTGCCCACCTGCCCTGCCCAAAACAGGGTGAGGACCTGAGAAAGAGGCTACACTCCTGACATTCCACTGGCCTAGGTTTACAAAGTACTTTGAAAAACAAGGCTTGAAAATGTTGCATTTCTAAGGGCTCTTCCGGCAGCCACAGATGGGCTGGTGCTTAACATTCCGGCACCATTTTCTGGCAGAAAGGTCCATCGCCAACCCTGTGACCACAAAGGCCACTTCCTAAAGAATGAGCTGCCAAGGGAGCGACATCCGGGCCTGGATCTGATCCAGCAGGGAATGTGTCACACGCCCCAAAGATGGCCGGCAGGGGAGGAAGGGTGACGTGTAGATCAATATCCGCTCCATTTATTGATTTGATTCATCCAATTACCTAGGAAGCTCACTCTGGAGAGGTTCAAGACAATGACTCACATGTCACCTGGGTAACACCGGCAAGGCTTCAGTCAGTGTTTACGTCACATCACGGGTATTAGAGGACATTTCTAGTTACAGAGAATATTAATTGCTGCTGAAAACTGGGTGGGAAGTTAAGTAGAAATGAAAAACGTCGACACAGCTGGGCCACCAACCATGGCTTTGTGGGGAGAATCGATGCTGAGCCTTGCTGAGCCAGCTGGGTGATTTTCCCAATGGTTTTTCTTTCTAGTTCCCATCTTTAACTCACACATAATTGAAAGTAGATATTAAGAGGTGAGTTGTGCTCCCCCCCAAATTCATATGCCAATATCCCGACCCCCAATACCTCAGAATGTGACTGTATTTTGAGACAGGGTCTTTAAAGAGGCAGTTAAAACGAGGACATTAAGGCAGGCCCTACTCCAGTGTGACAAGTGTCTTTACAGAGGAGGAGATTAGGTTAGGACACAGATGCACACAGAGGAATGAGCCTGTGTGTATCATTCCATGGAGAGAGGTCTTGGAAAGACCCAAATCCTGCTGACACCTCCATCTTGGACTTTAGCTTCCAGGACTGTGAAAACATAAATTTCTGTCACTGAAGACTCTCCGTCTGTGCGACACTCGTACAGTAGGCTCTGAACTTCATGTATCTGTTCTAGTTCAAGTGTAATG